CAGCACCCAGGCGGGAGAAGTCATTCGATGATTTTCCCCCCTTAAAAAAAGACGTATTTAATTTCATTTTTCCGGGGAGGATGACTCCAAAAATGGTGCTGAATCAACAACGCAGCCTTATAGGGTCTCTGAAGTTGAACATGTAATTAATAAATTAAACTTTTACCTTTGATAGGAGTAGGTACTACCCTGCTAGATAGATGCTTGATTTTTTTATGGGATAAGCTGGTAAACGAGCACACGGATCACCTGATGGTAAGCTATCGGCGTTGCCTATGCACACCCGCAACCCGAGAGGCGTTACAAGTGCGGCACCTTTTGGGGATTAGAAATTTGAGGATTGGGAAAATTGAAAAGGATAATTGGGCCTCCGGTAACCTCAATCACACAACACAAACATTGTTTCACGTCGATCAGATGATACCTAATATTTTCTAATAAAGAAATAAATAATCACTATACCATTATACCTACATAATTGTACTGTAATACCTCACTACCTCTCCACCAATCAATTAAAAGGATATCAAGAAACATTCACGCCTTGAACTCATTACGGCATACCTAGCAGATAAAGGAGTTTATTTACAGTCAGTCAGACAGACAGACAGACGGTCAAACACCTAGTAACAATAATAACAACAACAGTTCTATTTCTGGGTAGACTGTGCTAGACTGGCTGGGAATTATTTTATATGTGCAGCGGTTAACGGTGATCGCTCTCCACTAACTCCGTTATAGACCTTATTGCCGATGTTTAGAGACTACTTTTGTATGAGTAAATTTTCAGGATTTTCGGTACGATCAAGTGATTAAGTAGATACCTACTTACTGTGTACTATGTTTTATAATTAAGCCTTTTTTTTGAACGAGTAAATCAATAAATGACTAGTCCCGCCCGAGTGAGGCCAGAGGTGAGGCGGCGGGAGCAGTCATTCGATAATTGTAAGCCCACCCCCTATTAAAAAAAGTGTCATATTATAAGTGTTACGCTCCTTGAGAGTAGTTAAAATACCCTCTACCAGAGAAACTCTCTCTCTTTCTAACAAAAAAGGGAGAGGTGGCAGCGGCTTCCTCTGATAAATGTATTAGTAGAGTCAGATTAAAATATGGGGAAAACCTAGTGTCATGTTGAATCTACCCACCATATATCCGAACTGATTTGAAGGGGGACTAAAAAAAAAATTCTGACTAAATAAAGTCAGTTTCGTCAGAATAAGGGGAGGTAGGTCAATACCATGCTAAAGGAAATGCGTTTAAAAAATCTGCCCATTCCAACTTGATTTGCAAGAGTGGGGGGATTTTGAAGGGTTCTCGTTTGTACTCTCCAGAACATTCAACCCCACCATGTAAACTGGCAGATTAAGAGTTTTTTACTATTAAATACACATGGAGCATGTACACTATCAATATCTTACACTCGACCACTATAACAAAAGTTATGCTTAACAATTTCAAAGATCTGTGGATTCCCCTTTCCCCCACCGGTGGAAGAAATTGTCACTAAGCCATTTCTTCTCTCTATCAGCATTGAACCTAGAGAAAAAATCTCAATGATAGCACGGAGTCTGGAATTGTGCCCGGTATTCGGCCCTTATTCCATGGGACTCATAACATAAATAGTGATGTGAAAGTGGGTGTTACATTGTACAGTGGCATTAAGTGCAGTAATGTAAGTCGATAGGGATGGCTTTACTGTTCAGAGGAAGAAAAAGTAGTCATCCCAAAACAAGTGCGGCACTGCACCGACCGGGCCGAAACATTTGCTGCGTCCAGCTGTACCAGGGACGCTGCTCTACGTGTCCAGGCTGCATTACTCTACAAAGGTCGAGGAGATTGTAGAGTATATTCAGATCAAAACGAATTACACTCTAAGGGTTTTGAAATTAGAATCCCACCACAGCGTGAATTTCAATTCATTTGTGGTGAGAGTGCCTTCCGTAGATTTACCGAAATTCATGACACCAGAGTTTTGGCCGAAAGGTGTTGTTTTCCGGCGATTCCGCGGCCGGATACCTGACACCGCGCAGCACACGACGCCGACGCAGCACAATCGTCGTGAAAATTAGTGTTTAAATACATTATGTATTTATCGTATTTTAAGTTAAAATTGTATATTATAGTATTATTGTATTTTATTATGGGCCTTCGTTGCCTGATACAAATAAACAAATAAATAAAAATTGTGCACCTCTGCCTACCCCTTCAGGAATAAAAAGCGTGATTTATTTATATATACAAAACCTCTCGTGTGTAAAGAGGAAAGCAGGCTATTGTTATATGCGACGTTCCTACGTGGAGATAATAAACTTTGCTCTTGCAAATCAGTAGGTATTTCTTATTTATTTTCCTTAACTTTACATGAAAAATATAATTAGGATAATCCAATATTAAGTAGACAACCACTCAGAAATGGATAAATGAAATCACAGTGACTCGACGGTCATAATACCTTGAAAGTTTGTAAACATACAAAAAAAAAATAAACTCCAATAAAGCATTAACTACCTAAAACAAAAGTAATTAAGATAACAATAAGAAAACAGGCACCACATGTTATTTTTATTGCATAGAAACAGTTTTAATAATATATATGGAATAAAAATAATATACTTTTTTGTTTTTATTATTTTGTCAACGTGTAAATAAGCACGATGTTTGGGCGTGCTATTTATCTTTCATAATATTAAGTAAGTATATATAGAACATTTTTGATTGTTTGTTTATTTATAAATATTTTCTACAAAGTTATGAAAAACTATGACGAAACCCAGCTTCTTTTATGGGATATTTATGTCGGTAAACGAGTAGGCGGATTACATGATGGTAAGTAATCGGCGCCGCCCAGGGAAACCCGCAACACCAGAGGAGTTCCAGATGCGTTGCCGATCTTTTGGGAATGGGGTAGACGACTAATTTTTATTTTAATGTCCGTCTGGTAGATTATTTAAAAACATTAGACACGTATTTTTTATTTTCTTACGGAAACGAATAGTTTCGAAGATATATTGATTTGAAATGTCGCGTGACGTCACTTCTCAGTACATTTTATACTGAGAAATGACGTTTTAGCCCCCACTCCTAAACTTTGATTCGTTTTATCTAAGTATTGTTTTATTATACGACAAAATAAAAAAATACGTGTCCTATATTTTTTAATTACCTAACTTACGGACTAATTAGATTTTTAATTTTCATACCCTGTCATCATCCCCATTAATCTTTCGTGTGTACGCGGATCTACGCGAGATACAATGTATTTTCTATTGTGTCTCATATCGATGCATTCAAGGGGCTTTGGGATGTGAAGATTGAATTTCCAGACCCCTGTAACCTGCATGGGCCTGCGGACGGCGAGCACGGGTGACTCGCCGCCTGACCAGAACCAGACCCGAGCGTTCCGCACGCGTCTCAAGGAGCCATCAGACCACTACAGATGGGGCCCAATAGGGCCGATGCCGATTTGGAGCCGCAGAGGGCTTAACGGATTACCGGGGCTCCGGATCGAAGTGCAGAAGTAGGAACGGGGTGGTTTTTAGTCAGTAAGAGTCTGACACTTCCTCTCGCCTCACATGGGTGGGAGAATAAATTGAATGATTTTCCCCCTCAAAAAAAAACTCATGTAACCTCTCAAATATGACAACACGCAAGCTTTGTTTCACGCCGGTTTCTTGTGAGGCCGTTGTATTACTCCGATCAAAGCGGTCCATTCATGAAGAGATATCGTAAATCATTTTTAGAAATCTCCTGAATTCCTCGCAGGTGATATCGCAGGCACAAAGCTAGTCTGTTTTCTAGATATAGTTGCTTAATTAATAATTAAAAATGTGGACTCCTTTAGACTTCGTCACTGCTGCTTTGAAAGTTATTTGTGTTAATCATGTTTTAGATAAAATTTCTTTGTTAGGGGTCTTCATTAGATGTGGTGATTCCGTAAGGATGTGGTGATTCCGTAAGGGTTGGGTCGCGGTCACAGGCAGTGAAGGAACACTGCGGTGGTTTTAGCCGGTAAGAGTCCGGCACGCCCCCTCGTCGTCTCCACGACGCGGGAAGTCCATGAGGATTTCCATCGCGATAGAAAAAAAAAGAAAAAAAAAGGGTCTTCATTAACGGCTTGTGTAGGTACCTATCTATATTTTGTTACTATGTAAATATTATTTTTATGTAGGTACCTAAATAGTTTATTCAGAAAATCATACTTGACTGTTTTATAAACTGTAAAGTTTAACATTGCCCCACACTGGGATATTCTCCTGTGTCGTTGGTACGTTTATAAACATACAAGTTCACATACTTCTCCTGTGTCATAGGTGACATACAAGTTCACATACACATGACATTCAGACCCGAAACAACAAGTTGTGGATCACAGAAATAGTTGCTCCGTGCGGGAATCGATCCCGCTGCACATTGCGCGGCAGTCAGTTGCCCAGCCACCGCACCAACCAGTTTAGACTGAACGAATCAGTATTGGTGAGCGATCAGTGCCATTTAATAAATTCGTAATCAGATAAACGCATTCAGTGACACACCCATACCTAAATTATTGTAAGAAGTAATACATAAAAATAATGTTTGTGTTAAATGGTTTTAATAAACTCTGTTCTACCAATACTAAGCCTTTTCAAAGTCAAAGTCAAAATTATTTATTTCAATTAGACCAGAAAGGCACCTTTGAACGTCAACAAAAAAATTAAAAGTGAAGCTATTTGCTCACTCCAAGGTGTAGATTCCTATGGAGAAGAACGAGCAAGAAACTCCATACTATTGTCACGTAAGACAGTTCAATAGGTTTCGACAGTTTGCATTCGCTTCGAGACCGCTCATGTAAGACGGTGCCTTCAATATATTCATCGTAGTTGCTCTAATCTGCAACCGCGTGCTATTATAATTAAACTAGGCGCAATATATACTAAATTATATTTGTTAAAATTACAGGGCAAAGTTGATGAAATAAAAACATAAATAAGGCAACAAAATAATATATATATATTGTAGTATCAAGTCTGTCTGTAGTAGTGCGGCGCTAGATCCAGGAGCCACGCTTGGTGCACGCTCGTCACGTCGCGCATGTATGTCACGCCCGACGAACTTGATACACTCGCGAATATCACCCTGGAAGGCAAATGTGATTAATATTTGATACATAATAAAAATGAATTGTATTAAAATTGTTTACAAAGATTGATTCTGACGTGGCCCTGGCTTGACACAGATATGATTTGAATCTGATTTGTCTTGATTTTGAGAACTTGACTATGATGTAACTGGATTATAGCATGACTCGTCTATAACACGAATTCACTGCAATATAACTTGCTTATGTCTTTGACAAAACTAAATGTGCATCATATTTACATACGTGTCGTCATGTCTGTCGCCCGCAGAGACAATAAAACGCAAATGCGACTGCCGGACAAGAGGTCTCGGGTTCGATCCCCGGGTCAGGCAAAGTATTACTGAGTTTTTTAAATAAACTCAGTAGTAGCACAGAGTTTGGAATTGTGCCCGGTATATGGCAATAGGCTCAACTCTATTACATGGGACTCGTAACATAAATAGTGAAAAGTTGGTGTTACATTGTACAGTGGCATTTCCGCCTACCGCTTCGAAGATAAAAAGGCGTGATGTTCAATCTTCAAAGATTACTTGAATCAGATATGACTTCTTTCAGACATAACATGGTTCAACTATGCCTCAATTTTACCAAAAATCATGGATATAAAAACTAATATCAATCTACAAATTCCTAATCCCAAAAGGCCGGTAACGCATTTGCCACGACTCTGGTGTTCCGGGTGTTCATGGACGACGCTAATTGCTTAACATCAGGTGATCCGTCAGCTCGTTTACCGACGTATACCATAAAAATACAAATACCCACCACTTAGGTTGCTGTACCCTGAACAGACAAGAGTCCGGACTGAGCGCGAGGCTGGCGCCGCGCACGCCGCGGTACGTACAGTCCGGCGCCAGCCACGCGGCCTGGGGGAAGTACCCGCTCACTATACACTTCAGGACGCGCTCGGTTTTACCTGGAATTCAAGAAAAATATCGTTATAGTAGCCGGAAGTATAAGACATCCGCTTTTTATGCATGCGGGTGTGGGTTCGAAACCTACCAACGGCAAGTACTAATGTGACTTTGGTCGAGTTATATGTGTTACATGTATGTTTAGTCTGTATCAACATCACTAATTAGTAAGTAGTAGTCCCCTCATTATAATGTGTAAACTTAAATAACGCACATCCGGAAAATAGTTTGTTCAGAATCGTTAACTTAATCAATTTATTTAATTTTTAGTATAGGTAATTTTTTATCCCAAAAATAATTAAAACTACGGAAATGATTGTCATATTAACCCTGTATTGTTAAAACAAATTGAAATGGACCGTAAGTCAAAGCAATAAGACTTTTAAAATTGCAGTTTTGTTTGTATTCATACGAATTTTATCATTCAATACAAAATAAAGAAAAATAAACCTTATGACAAGACCAGTAAGGATGCATATACATGTTAAATTAAAAATTTAGTGTATGTATTATGATTATAATATATTATAATATTGTAATTGGGGTGTTTGAGGGTGTGCGTTAATTACGTTACATGGTGTATAAGGTAGGACACTTGTTAAGAATGTTTATTTGTCATACTCTGGTGTGTGTATACGTCGTGCGCCTTGTACATTATTGTAATAAATCCAAGTAAAATAAATCCATAATTTGACAATCTAATAATATGAATTTTCAAAGAATATCTAGACACCACTGACAAATTTAAATGGTTTAGGGAAATATCGGGAAAACTTGGAATTTTATAATTTGTAGTTATAAGTTTGTAATCTCTAACACGCATTGAGCAAGTGTGGTGATTAATGCTCAAATTTTTTCGTGTGAGAAGAGGCTTTGGTGAGCAGTGGGCATTTATAGTCTGTTTTTGGTTGGACGGGGAGCCACTCATGCTGTACGTCCTCCGGCCCGCGCTGACGGTGGCCGGAGATCGTCCCGCGATCCCCGACGCCCGGTGTGTCCTTCGCGATGGCTGGCTGCAGAGGACGCAGTTGATCGCGGCTCGCCTTGTGTTTTGTTGCAACCGCCGACGTTGTCGGCGGTTGCTGTTCGGCCGCCGTGGCGGCGGCCGAACAGCCTTCTTCAGCCACCGCCACCGCCCTGCGGCCTGTGTCGGCGTAGCCGACACAGGCCGCAGGGCGGTGTAGCCGGGGCGATCCTCCCACAAATACTTCAATTTTGCTCGCAAAAGTCTTTTTTGTGCATATTTATATTATAAGAGCATCAAACAAACTTAATGTACAATTTTCAAAATTTTCGGCGCATATTTTCATGTATTTCTGAATAACATAACTATCTAACTTCAGAATTTGTTACATTTTTTTACAATGAGCGTTAAATATTTACCTGATCCAAAGTCGATTCCTTCAAACTGTTTTTCTTCAATTTTAAACTTTCCTCTAATTAATTTCTCCAAATTATGTCTAACATCACAAGCCTGAAATCAAACAAAAAACATTTTTAAGTAAAACAAAAATATTAATAAATATTTTCAGCGTATAGAACATTTCTATCTATAACTAATACAGACCTAATAACAACAACTACTTATTTAATATTATGCACCTCTGCCTACACATAATAACATAACATCACGCCTTTTATCCCTGAAGGGGAGGTAGAGGTACACATTACGGCACTTAATGCCACTGTACAATGTAACACCCAGCGGGGGTGAGCCTATTGCTATATACCGAGTACAATTCCAGGCTCCGTGCTACTACTAACAATTTAAAAAAAATATATTGTCCTTTGCCCGATCCCCCATCGAATCCGAGACCCCTTGCCCGGCAGCCGCACTTGCGACCCCTCGGCCAACGAGGCAGTCTGCCTACCCCTTCATATATTAAAAACTACGATGTTATTTACCTTCTCCATGACTTTATAATTGATGTAGTACTTGTCACACCACTGTTTGCAAACCCTCGCGTTCTTCTTGTCGTCGCCCGAAGTCTTCAGCTTCAGGTAGGCGTCCATAATGTTCAGGTACATTATTATGTCGCCTTCAGCTACCTGGAACGTGAAATATTTAGGATTTCAAATTAATTTGAATGAAGGAAACAGTTAATAAGACTAACAGTTTCTATTACGTTTAAAATATATTAAAATGTGCGATATATTAAAATGTCCAAAGTGCAATAGCTAAGATTTTGTTTAAACGTTGCCCCACACTAAGATTTTCTGTGTGCGTTTGAAAACACAATTTCACATACACACATAACATAACATAACGCCTTTTATCCCCGAAGGGGTGAGAGACAGCAAAGGTGCACATTACGGCACTTAATGCCACTGTACAATGTAACACCCACTTTTCAATATTTATGTTACGAGTCCCATGTAGGTAATAGGGGGTGAGCCTATTGCCATATACCGGGCACAATTCCAAACTCCGTGCTACTACTGAGAATTTAAAAAAAAACCTAGTACTACTTTGCCCGACCCGGGAATCGAACCCGAGACCCCTTACCCAGTAGTTGCACTTGCGACCACTCGGCCAATGAGGCACTCACATTCCACATACACATGGCACCTAAACCCGGAACAACAATCTGTGGATCACACAGGGTTGCTCCGTGCGGGAATCGAACCCGCAAAACGTTGCGTGGCAGATAATTGCCCAGCCACCGCACCAATCGTGCAGTCTAAAATTTGGGATTCAAGTATGAGCTGACTTACATGATAGGATACTTTTTATTCCGATTAAATGCTCCCATGAGATAAAACAGGAACGCGGGCAAAGCCGCGTGTAAAAGTTAGTAAATAATTTACCTCAAAGTTGTTCCTACGGCTGAGTTTGGCCTCTATGCTCTGCTTACCCCCGCTGGGCTTCAGAAACACGTTGTCCACTTGCAACATGGCCGCTATGGATAATGCTTCGTCTACACAACCCCATTCTCCTGTAAAGGTTTAATAATGATTGTTTATTTACTCATAAAGAACATGGTTCACTTACAATGAGTCAAGATCAAACGGTATTAGTAAATATTTTCAAATACATATTTTCTTAACCTATTTTTAAACATGGCAATCGACATTTTAAACGTAATTATAATTAATATTCAATATAATTATAATTATAAATAATACTTATTATATAACTAAGTAAGATAACACCAGAAAAGTTTTTTTATGGAATATGAGGCAAACGAGTAGACGGATCACCTGATGGTAAGCGATCAGCGCCGCCCATCGACACCCGCAACACCAGAGGAGTCACAGGTGCGTTGCCGGCCTTTTAAAAGGAATACGCTCTTTTCTTGAAGGTTTGAAGATTGCATCGGTTCGGAAATACCGCCGACGACAGATCATTCAGTTTTGCTGGGAGGCAGGAAGCATCGTGAGAAGCGCACAATAGTGGTCTGCCAACCATCTATATGATGGGGATGTATATGCTGTCGTGAGGGTCGATGGCGAAAAGAAGCGGTAGGTATCAGGTCAAACAATTCTTTAGAGCACTCCCCGTGGTATAAGCGGTAGAGAATGCACAACGAAGCTACATCTCTACGCATTGCCAAAGTGTCCAGCCAGTTTGAAACATCCAAACAGTATTATTGGTTTTTGAAATATTATGATTATTTGCAAGAAGTCACTCAGTAGTAGCACGGAGTCTGGAATTGTGCCCGGTATATGGCAATAGGCTTACCCCCTATTACATGGGACTCATAACATAAATAATGAAAAGTGGGTGTTACATTGTATAGTGGCATTAAGTGCCATAAGGTGCACCTCTGCCTACATCTTCGGGGATAAAAGGCGTTATGTTATGTTAAAAACATAACATATAAACTATTTTAAGTGTGGCAGAGCCATGCTTCGGCACGAATGGGTCGGCTCGACCGGAGTGATACCACGGCCTCACAGAAAACTGACGTGAAGCAACGCTTGCGTTGTGTTTCGTCGTGTGAGTGAGGTTACCGGAGGCCCAATTACTTCCTGAATCCCCAACGATCCTTAAACTCCTAATCCCCAAAAAGATCGGTAACGCACTTGTAACGCCTCTGGTGTTCCAGGTATCCATGGGTGACGCCGATTGCTTACCATCAGGTGATCCGCCTGCTTACCCGCTTATGCCGTAAAAAAAACGTATTATACATGTGAAATGTACTCGTTGAGTAACGCTTGAAACATAAAAAAATCATCACTACCTACATAAATAATGATTTTGAATTTATGATACATACCACTTCGACACAGCATAGCAGCACACATGGGCTTCAACGGCAGCTCAGCGACCATCTCCCCCGCCGCCGTCAGCCTGCCAGACTTGTCGATACTCTGCAGCGCGTACAGGGACTCCAGGGCACATAGTACACTCCGCGCCGGGGGAGGCGTCGGGAACGTAAACCTGCGAGATTTCAACATGTTATGGCGACATCTGTATTTTGGGTACGGAACTATTTGTAATAAAGTTGCAACTTTCAACCACCTTTTGTTATTGAGCGGTGCCAATTGGGGTTACCGTTTATTTTGCTCAACAGAAGGCGCAAATATAAAAAGATATTTTTTGTCCAATCACTGCAGCTATCAAATATTTAACAGCCTATTGGCTGATTAGCATCCTGAATTTTATTAAAATGTCAAGTGAAACAAGTGAGTGAAACAAGTGAATTTATTTCTGCAAATAGGCTACAAGGCAGCACTTTTACACGTCAATTTTATCAAGCGAATGATGAGGTCCGTCTGGTATATTATTTTAAAACAGTAGACACGTATTTTTTTTCATATTTTCCCACGCATTTATGTAATTTTTTTCATTGAAAACTCATACGTATCGTCGTACGAGCATCGCCACATGATTTGAATTGTTTTACATTTTAACTTATTTTGCTATACTAGCATTTTGCCGAGTGCGCGATATTGGCGCATTCATGATGCAACCTAATAACAAAATTATGTTATTTATAGCCACACTAATTATTTAATGTAGTACAATAAATACTCTCTTCGAAAACGAATACAAAACCAGTAATTGTATTTTTGTGAACATCCCGTCTTCGTTGACAACATACTACACACAACAAACACATTTCTGTGTACGGGCAAATAGCTTGTACAGTATTTAAACGGCCATCTCAAACATAGCAACCAGTACCCCAACGTTTCACTTAAAACTTTACACAAAATACAATAATAAGAATTACCTCAACAAATTATCTATGCCCAAAGCCTTCAGTTGTAACAGCACTCCTGCAAGATCACTCCGACACATTTCAGGAGGCACTGATGGAGGTAGTTTCTCGTACTCGGCTTCTGAATATAGCCTGAAAAAATATTTCGTGTGTTACGTTTGTTTTTATTGCAATTGCATTGTCTTTTCTACTGGACAGACGCGAGTCTAATAGCCGGGAATGAGGTTCTAAGATTGTTTGCTGGTTCAGGTACAGAGATTTTCTATCTTTCTATAATTTATTATTCAATAAGATAATATTTTGTCTGATATATAGTGCAGCACATTCGTTTTCATTTCGTACTTCCAACATCAAGTATCAATTATAGTACAGTACTCTGGATCCAATATCGAAAATCGATAAACTGATTAGTTTGCTTGTTTGGCAGTCGCATTGATGACCATCCAATCAAAAGGTAAAGTTTCTAATTTTTTTTTTTCTGAACTTTACTTTTATTATTTAGACTCTAAATTGAAAATATAAGTTTTAAAAAATATTATATTTTCAAAGGAGAATGCCCACGGCACTATGGACAAATGTACTGAATTCAACATTGTTGTGTCTCCACGAAATAATCTTTAAAATATTCAATGGCATGTCCAAATACTACCTCAAAAGATTTAACACAAAATACATTGGCAGTTTCGAGATATTCACAAAATAAAATTACTATTTTGAGGTTATGTCCGACCAAAAATTAACTGATAAAAGCTATTTAAAAGGGTCTGAATGGGTTTTTATGGCTTGGTATCTGTGACGCATACTTATTTGTGTAAAATATGTAACGTGTTAGCTATGTCAGGTGGCCAGTTACGGGTGGATACATGTGTCTACCTCACCAAGTCTTATTGATTTAGATTTTGCTCATTTTTTAATCTAACGCCCGCGTTTCATGAAATTACAAAGCATAGAAGGAACTGTTACTAAAATAGTCAATAGCTCAGTGTTATATCTAGGCCCTACTCAAATCATAGATGTGGTAGGTATCATGACATGGCCTTTATAAATACCTACAGAGAGAAGGAAAACAAACAAAAACAAATACAATAAATAAAATAATGATTATTTCTTATTTTATTGGTCGAGTGGTCGCAAGTGCGACTGCCGGGCAAAGGGTCTCGGGTTCGTATCCCGGGTCGGGCAAAGTATTACTGGGTTCTGAAAAAATTCTCAGTAGTAGCACGGAGTCTGGAACTGTGCCGAGTATATGGCAATAGGCTCACCCCCTATTACATGGGACTCATAACATAAATAGTGAAAAGTGGGTGTTACATTGTACAGTGGCATAATGTGCACCTCTGCCTACCCCTTCGGGGATAAAAGGCGTGATGTTATGTTATTACTATTTCCTTTCTTATGAGCAGTTGAGACATTGCATCACAGTCGCACTCGGCATGATCGTAAGGAACTCAAAAAGTCCAGTTATTGGTGATAAACAACACACACGGTGCTGCGGCGTTAAAAGTATGTTCATTTTCAATGGATTGACAGGAATTACGGAGGATCTAAAAGGCTCGACGCAGAACATACCAAAATCAGCAGAAATAACAGTATTAGTAGGTATTGTATTGCAAAAATATGACAGACGCGCAATAAACGTCAAATAAGGTTCTACCAATAATGATGAAAGATCGATGTTTTTTCTATTTCCGTAAACCAGCCAGTGGTATTTTACAAATACAACATGGTGCTGATGCCGATGGCCGTTTACAGTGAATGTTGTTACTTTATAATAATAGATTGAACAATCAATACGACAAAATAGAATACAATAAAAAAAATAACATTTAGGGAACGGAGAGTAAAGTTCCCTAAGATCGAAAAAGGAGGATCGTTCATCGATAGTCTATGTGCGTAAACTGCCATGCTGTCATTTGACATGTGTCGGCACAGACATACCTATAAATGGCGTACTATAACTTCGGAAACATAAAATTACTAATTAATTTTCAAAAAACTATCCCAATGTAAATATCATTCAAAGTCTTTTTAAAAATATATTTTTATTTTAGATATATTATGCCGTTAGAGATTTTGAGACACAAGTAATTTATCAAGAGTACTGTCCATGGGCATTCTCCTTTATTGTGTTCTTAATAAAGTCGTAAATTGATATCGAAATATTTTTACCTATAGCAGTACCCTCTGGCAGTCCGTCCGGCCCTGCCCGCCCTCTGGATGGCATTGTGTCTCGACACGCTCGTGACGGTCAGACTCTCCACCCCCACGGCCGGGTCGAAGTACGGGAGCTTGTGGAAACCGCTGTCTATTACTGGACGGGAATATATAACACGTTTTTACTAAAATCCTTATATCAAGGAATCTATCGATCGATTCGTAAAATTTTGTAAAAAGGCAGAGTATTGGTGCACATGACAGGTTTGCACCAAAAAGAAAACCAGTTCTGAAACAGTATGTCTTCTGCTTTACTAATAAAGATTATATTAAACTGTCAAACACCAAGCGGTCACCGGTGACCGCAACCTATTGTTCTTTAACCGTGTCTATAATGACGGTACTCGACGAGTTAATGCAATTTCTGAAGAACCGAATATGGCTCTAAACTTGTAGTTGCAAGTTAAGAATAAACAAATTAGAAAAAAGAAGGTAAAAACTTATTTATCGATAAATTTGATAAGTTTGAAAAACATTGGTAAAGACTAAAATTAAAAACCTGTTAAAGAAAATCGTAGATTGATTGATTAATTGTGAAAAATTGTAACAATTTGATTACGATTGAAAAAATATACAATTGCAGTAGGTGCCGTGGTAGGGTAGTTTCTTAAATTTTATTTCAATGTATTTTTTCTTTTCTCACAAAATTAAGTACTTTCGACGATATATTAATTTGAAATATAGTGTGACGTCATAGCGTGTCACATTTTATAGCACGTTGTGACGTAACGACCTCCCACTCTTAAACTTAGCGCCATTTTATTTAAGTATTGCAACTTAATAGGAGAAAATAAAAGAATACGTGTCTAATATTTTTTCATTATCTAACTGACGGATTAATTAGATTTTTAATTTTGATACCCTGGAAACTACCTAAAATTATCATTATTTGACAATGTTACACATTTAACTGTAACAATAAAGATTTGCCTACTAGGATTATATCATAAGTTTTAATGAAAGTGTTGCCAACTCACCATAAACAACGCCAGGTATGGTAACACTGGTCTCAGCGACATTGGTTGCTATGACAACCTTCCTAACATTACTGTCGGTCCTCTGGAACACTTTCACTTGTTTATAGTGAGGTAGACTACCATACATAGGAACTACGAGCATGTTGGCTGCCTTTATACCGCTGGGGAAGTGACTTCGATGCTTGTTTGTGTCGTTATTGTGGTCGGCGTATGTACGGAGGGTTTCAAGGGCTGTTAGGATTTCTTCCTGTAAAAAAGCAATTTTGTGAACATTGTAGTAGGTACGAATTTTCAGGTTTTATCACAACTAATTAAACCTAATACGGTTCACGAGTTATGGCAGGTGTGAAGTTCGCGCAGAAAACTGCGCAGATATTTTAGAAACCAAAACGGTGACGTGTGTGGGATAGGGATATCTAGGGATTGACTCTAATTAAACACAATCGTTTTATTGTTTAATCAATTTATTTGCGAGTATACATGCGCAAAAGTGACTCGCGGCTAACTTCACACCCGCCGGAATTCGTGAACCGAACTGTACTTTTCTTTAAGAAAAAAATCTTAAATTATCAATTATATAGGTGTGTTACAAACACAAATATAGCACATTACACCCAAACCTAGAATAATATAAATATTTTGCTGTCGTAAGATACAGATAGTAAATGTCAAACAACATAGTGGAGATAGATTTGAAGCTGCCTTAAGTTGGTAAGTGGTGTAAAGAAAATGGTTTTTTTTTAGTAAAACACAAAAGGGGACGCAATGTCGAAGTCCATTGTCTGTGACGGAGGTCAAGTGACATTTCTCTCGCTGAGCCAACAGATTTGATAAAAGCTTTTAAGTTGTTAAAATGAAACTTACCTGTGACGTCAAAAAAGCTAATATATCACCAAACGGTTGGTTCTCGTGTATCCGGATAACTGTGTCCACTGTAGCCTTCACATAGTCAGGTACTGGTTCTGAAACATACAATAACTCAAGTCAGTTACCATTTGAATATCCCATGACTCATGGAACTCCTTAACATAAGAAAGGTTTGTCATAATCTCCTCACTAAGCATGCAGGTTGGATATCACAGATTACTAGATTGATGTTGCGGGTGTCCATTGGCGGCGCTGATCGCTTACCATCATCTCTTGAAGCCAACCTTAATGTCAATGCAATTTCGATCCAATAAACTCCCAATAATTATTCAATGTCAAAACTATGCAACCCCTATCGTAGCTGCTAAAATAGCATTGAAAGTACGGAATATAAAGCCAAACTCATATAGTTCATTCAATATCCACGCAATTTAGATGCAATGGGCGCTAGTGTTGCAATTGAAGAGTCCGAAATTTTACAATATAAATGTCGATCGATCGGAATTGAATTAAAGAGTAAGCCCCCAGGTGATCCGTCCGTTCATTTGCCTCCTACTCCATAAAAAATAAGGCAGATTTTTCACAGAGCGCTGTTGCCTGGTCTCTATCAAATATCGTTTAGTCAGCATGAGCTGACTTATCTATGCTGAGCTGAGCTATTTACATAAATATTCATGACAAATATACCAGCATACCCCCTAGATTAAAATTGCATAAAAAACTATACATATCACTCTTTGAAAAAAAAAATACAATAGTTTCTGTCAACATAATAACGGTACCTTATAACTAGATGTCGCCACTGACCTTCAGTATAGAACACCTCTATAGGATGTGTGCATCCCTGCATAGACATGATGGTAGATGTACTAGGTTTGTCTTTTTGTGTCTTATCTCTTGTATTGAAGAAATCTCGAAGGAACTCCGCATCCATAGTCGCTGATGACACTATTAGTTTTAGGTTTTTGCGTTTCTGGAATATAAATAACAAAAAGAATTAAAATAAAGAATGTTTTTGGAAATTGTATTGGATGAGTTTCAGATATTTTGATCCATTAAAAAAATTGAAGATAAATGGTTAACCAAAGATTTTAAAATCAATCAAATTGGTTAAGAAATCCTTTTTATGAAGTTATTTGTTTCTTATTTCTAAATCTAGACTTTTATAAAAAAAAAACATTGTAATATTGTGATTTTTTTGTGACAATAAACAATTTTTATTTATTTTTTATTCTTAATCAATACTAAATATTACCTTAATTATTTTCTTCAGTAGACCCATCAGTACATCAGTCATCTGTGTTCGTTCGTGAACCTGAAATGATAAAGCAAACAATTTTAGACTATTTTTATTTCAGTTAAAGGATTAAATATTCAACGTTCGTAACAATATCGAATTTCTCAACATACTAACCTCATCAAGAACTATGCAGGAATATTGCATAAGCAGCGGTGATGCAAACATTTCTCTTAGAAGTACACCTTCGGTCATAAACTGAAACAAAAGCAAAACTCATTTACTAAGTTAGTTCGCGGAGCACACTAAGAGATGGCGTTACAAGTTTGTTAAATGTAAAAAAAGCGAGGGAGGTCTCTAGTGCGATTTATTTACGGGTCGGGAAAAGGTTCGGGTAACAGTTCTTCGAGTTTTACATTGTATCCAGTATATGACAATAGGCTCACTCCATATTATATAGGACTCATAATGGGAAATACAAATCTACATATTATTGCTCACTGATACAAAGCTGCTGAAGTACCTACATGTCAATATTTTTTTTATAATCATTGTTTACTGTTTACATCGCTTGTTTTGTATTTTAATTTAACCATTCTCGACTTTCTTATATTCAAAATTAGAATTTATTTTGTTTTTATAACGTGGTCTCCTATAACTGGAGGAGCATAAGATTTCCTTTTTAATTAAAATTGTGTATGCTTTGTGTATTCTCTGTAGGAGATCCCTTTTAAATAAATAAATAAATAGACTGGCGAAAAACAGAGCCAGATTAAACCATAGGAAAGCACCTCATGGGCGCCCCTAAATTTTTTGGCGCCGCATTCGCCTTATATGCAGTTGAGTATGCGCGTCTCGGGGCGCCTCTATATAACCTGGCGTCCTAAGCAGTTGCAAGTATGCCTTAGGTATAATACTGCTCTGGTACTAGAAGTGCAGTTTACTAACAATGCACTATATTTCTTGTTATTAAATTTAATTAAAATGTCCTTCAATGGCGACTGAACAGGAAACAGGTATTGGCCGTAATCAACTGAAATTGATATCGTTACGGGAAAATACATTAATACAACGCCATTTTTAAATATTCTACAAATTACGAAATGTTAAAGAAAAAGATAATTCTGAACTGTTTGTGTGAAACTCACACAAACTACTTTCTTCTTTCTTTCTTTTTTAAAAACGTTGGCCCACGCTAAGATTCTCCGTGTCTTGGATCCATTTATCAACATATAATTTCACATGTGTAGGTATGTACACACAAACCTGAAACAACAATTTGTGTGTGTGTACAAAGTGTACCTCCGTGCGGGAATTGAACCCACTACACTTAAATATCGCAGATCTATACTTAAGCGTGGACGTACACTTTAGTGTGGGAGAGCCATGCTGCGGCACGAATAGGCCAGGTCCGAGTGATACCACGGCCTCACAGAAAACAGACGTGAAACAACACTTGCATTGTGTTTCGTCGTGTGAATGAGGTTACCGGAGGCCCAATTATCCCCTTCTCCAGTCAATCCCCAAATCCCCCACAATCCTCAAACTCCTGATTCCCAAAAGGCCTGTAACCCACTTATAACGCCTCTGGTGTTTCGGGTATCCATGGGCGAAGACGATTGCTTACCATCAGGTGATCCGTCTGCTCGTTTACCGGCTTATCTCATAAAAAAAGCGCGACTTAAAGTTGAGTAGTCTCTCAGTTTTGGGCGTTTCGTATAGATGTGAAGACTAGGAAAGAAATATATTTTCGAAAATATGTTCGACTTGCAATTAGCGGTCGCAGGCGGAACTGCGGAACAAGACTCGGTTTTATTTTAATCTTATTTTGAGTATCTATATTTAAAATAAATTTTTGAATCGTATAATGTACGCTGACACAATTTTGATAGACTTGACCCGGATATGGGTAGGTACCTATTCGGTTTGATACTTTATCATTCTTACTTAAACATTTTTTAGAAATCAAAAATTTTGATTAGATTATGCACCAAGAATAAGTAGTTAATAATTAATTACTATTTACACGACAAATAAGATACGAGGTTGATATAAAAATCACTGAAATTAATTGTTACATTCAAGCCTTTTGATCTCCAAAAACAAAGGTCTCTGCTCGCACATAGAAATTTTTAGAGCTTTATTCCCTACGCTTGTTCAATGCGAGTTCGCGATTTCGAACTTATAATTACAAATAGCTTTTTTTTTTTTTTTTTTTTTTTTAAGGGGGGAAAATCATCGAATGACTGCTCCCGCCTGGGTGAGGCGGAAGGGAGTGTCAGACTCTTACTGACTAAAAACCACCCCGTTCCTTCTCCTGCACGTCGAGCCGGAGCCCCGGTTACCCGTTAGGTTCTCCGCGACTCCGAATCGGCATCGGCCCTATTGGGCCCCATCTGTGGTGGTCTGATGGCTCTTTGAGGCGCGCGCGGAACGCGACGCGGCGTACGCTCGGGTCTGTTTCTGGTCGGACGGGGAGCCACCCATGCTCGCCGTCCGCAGGCCCGCGCTTACGGTGGCCGGAGATCGTCCCGCGATCCCCGACGCCCGGTGTGTCCTTCGCGATGGCTGGGTCGCGAGGAGGCAGCGCTTCGCTGCCTCACGCGTCCCGCCTCCTCCTTAGCTAGCATGACTGCTTCGCAAAAGGAGGAGACGGCATCCCAGTCCCCCTCGCTCCGCATCATGGCCTGCACTAGGCCCGGACGCGAGAGGTCGCCATCGCCGATCACTTCCCTGAGGGCACGGCGGTGCTCAGCCCACGCAGGGCATTCCGCTACGGTGTGTTCCACCGTGTCCTCAGGGCGGTCCTCGCAGTGATGACACCCGGGCGTTTCCTCCCGCCCCATCAGACACAGGTACCTCCCGAAACTTCCATGTCCGGTGAGGACCTGCGTCAGGCGGTAGGTGAGGACGCCGTAGCGTCTCTCAAGCCACTCCTCAAAGAGGGGACTTACCGCTGCAATGGCAGCGAGCCCAAATTACAAATAGCTTAGGTTTCCTTCGCCGTTTTTCAGTGGTGTCTAAATAATCGTAGAAAGTACAATGTTACTCGGAAAAGTCATTGGTACTTGCCATTAGTAGGTTTCGAACCCGCATCCTAGTGCATGAGAAGCGAACGTCTTAAGCCTCAGGGCCACCACGATTACGTGATAAATAACTGCTTCTTAATTCGCATGAAGTCATGATAACAATTTTTATCAATTTTGATTTTGTCGCCCACCCAGTGTGCCGTGCTTTCAAATTATCTCGATAGATTAAAATTGGTAATGGGTCTGCGACACAATAATTTCAATGAGCTGGCTCGCTCGGGAAAGTACTCCTCTCAAAAAATAACCACGAAATACTGTGAAATAATGACGTGTAGTAAAAGTTTCGGATGCTCATTTAATTGAGCTCGTTTAGTATTTGGCTTGTTTGGTACTGATAATACAATTCAAGAAACGAAATATAATTATGGCTTTGCTTAAGAAAACTAATGAAGAAAGACTGTATACTAGTTTCAAGTCTATTAACAATTTAAACGTAAAATACGCAGTACTAAGGCCGACATGGCGCTAGTGCATATCTCACATCATTGTTCATTCAATATTTGACAGCAGCAATGATAAAACAAAATAACTCTTGCCACCAATCTCGATGTCAATGCAATAAAATCTCAATAATTATTCAATGTCAAAACTATACAACCCCTATCGTAGCTGTTAAAATAGCATTCAGAGTACGAAATATAACGCCAAATTGCAATTCAAGGGTACGAAATTTTACAATACCAATGTCGATCGATTGGAATTGGATTCAAGAGTAAGCCCCTTTGGTGGTAGTCCCTATGAATTGAAAATGTTTTACAATAGTTATTATACACACTTAAGTAGTATATTATTCAGACCACCACAGATGGGGCCCAATAGGGCCGATGCCGATTTGGAGTCGCGGAGAACCTAACGGGTAACCGGGATTCCGGCTCGACTACGTGCAGGAGAAGGAACGGGGTGGTTTTTAGTCAGTAAGAGTCTGACACTCCCTTCCGCCTCACCCAGGCGGGAGCAGTCATTCGATGATTTACTCCCCCTTAAAAAAAAAGTAGTATATTACGTAAAATATACTCACAACAATATCAGTGTTAATCGTTCGGAGGCTGGTGTTTGCTGCAGCGTACCCGACCTGTTCCCCCAGTATAACTCCTCGCTCCTCCGCCACTCGAACAGCTAACGATACAGCTGCAGCTACTCGAGGTTGCGTCACACATACTTTGTGACCGATCTCGTGGAGGTACTGGAACAATAAAAGGAAATATTTAGCATGGAATCACATATTTTTAAAGTAAAATTTTACGTGGGAACGATCAATTTCGGTACAAAATTAGCTGGATTGATCAGAATGATATCATGATCTCTAAATTAGCATACGTGCACTGTGCAGTCTAGTGTGTGAGGTAACCAGAGATCCAACGAGTCCACAGCAACGCTGATGCTTACAACTAGGTGATCCATGTGCTCATTTGCTCTCTATCCCATAAAACCATTCTGTAGACCATCTTAAGAAAGGAGGTAATGCGCTTATGGACGTTTGCACTTTGCAGTACTAGAAATGCTGCTTCAATTAAACAGGACGGTTGGTACTGTGGCTGGGCTACCGGCTGCCGTGCAACGTGTAGCGGGCGTGATCCATAAATTGTTGCCATAAATCCATAAATGTGAAATTGTATGTTTGAAAACGCACTCACGACACAACGTTTTTTTTTACCTAGTAATCGATAAATTAAGTGAGCATATTTCAGTAATCGATGATATTGCTAAAAATATGCAATTTTTTTCCTACTTTGCTCCATCGCGCCATCACCACCGCTCACCTTGCAGACCACAGCAGATGATCTAACAACAAATTTAGCTATCCCAGATCTAAAATTACGAACAAGGCGGCCTATATCTATACTCCAAACATTCTCTTAACCGTATTACCCAATTTTTTATACAAATCCAATCTACATGATGGTACGCCAAACAGCAGGTAAAGATACCCCATTCTATCAAAATTATTTAAGCAATTCACAACCTTGTAACGTTAGAAATAGAGTTGAAATTTTATTGAAGGCATTGGAGGTTGGTATATGTTGACGGGATTCATCTGTATTTTAGGAGTATTGGCAAAGTTCCAATAGTTTTGTTTATTTGCTAGTTTTATGGTGTATGAATGGTTTTATATTCACAATGTTTTTACGTAGAAAGAAATATATCATAATATATTGGCTTTTGTAATGCTAGAGTATTTTTTCTTACATATATAACAATATATATTCTGAAAGCTATCTCACATGGAATAATTGCACTAAGTTTAAGTCTCATAACCCGCGGTTTCGTTCCTTTTTTTGTCAGCAACGCGCAAGGAGAAAAGGTAGTCTACATTATTAGGTAAGCCGATCTCTGGCGTCTAAATTACTTTCAGTAACAAAAAATTACCATAAACACACTGGAACTTGAATCCAAGATCTTTTATTACTTGGTAGTTGCAATCATCATCACGTCACGCCATTGCCAGCTATACCAGTGACAATCCTTACTATTATAAATGGGAAAGTGAGTTTGTTTGTTTGTTGCGCTTTCACGCCGTAACTACTAAACCGATTGCTTTGAATTTTTGCAGACGTATAATTAGAAGTCTGGATTAAATAATAGGGTACTTTTTATCCCGAAAAATTTTGGTATCCCCGTGGGAAAACAAAAGAATATTGGTTTAAGTCACATAAGCTACTTTTATCCTTTTGTGACGCGAGCGAAGCCGTGGGTAAAAGCTAGTCTTATCATAAACTGCACAAAGTTTAAGCGTAAAGTCAGAACAAACTCACTGCATATTTTTTTGTTTTAGATGTCAACTAAGTATAGGACAACGCCATCTATCAACTGTGACCTTTAACATCTAACTAACAAACTACATACCTACCGTGAATTTTTATCACATTCTTAATTAGTGTTAATTAAAATGTGACATTATTTTAATAGGGAGGAGTGTCAATGGGTTTGTGTTGGGATGGCCTAGGCTTACAGTCTCTATGGACTCGTTTTAGTTTTGAATACTTTGTATAATTACCTAGATAACATTGAGCTTTTTACACTCTAAATACTTTTTACTGAAACCTATTTTTGTCAATTAGTTTTACTATAATTTTGTTGAGCATTGCTTCTGCTCGCATCTGTTTTTTGTGAGGGAAAAACATCCAACGACTTCTCATCCAATGAATCTGAGGGAGTGTCAGACTCTTACTGACTAAAAACCACCCCGTTCCTACACCTGCTTGACCAGAGCCGGAGCCCCGATAAACCGTTCGGTTACCTGCAGCTCCGGACTCTTCTCTCATCTGCAATTTCTTTTCTTTGACAAGACCAGAACCAGGCCCGAGCGTACGGCGCGTCGTGTTCCGCGCGCGCCTTAAGGAGCCATCAGACCACCACAGAACGGGCCTAACAGGGCTGATGCCGATACAGAGCCGCGGAAGACTTAACGGGTTGCCGGGGCTCCGGCTCGAAGTGCAGGAGTAGGAACGGGGTGGTTTTTATTCAGTAAAAGTCTGACACTCCCTCTCGCCTCACCCGGGCGGGAAAAGTCATTGGACGATTTTCCAACTAAAAAAAAGGCACGTCCCCGAACTGCAACCGGTGAAAACAATCTCCAATCTGGATGTCATGTATTATGTAGTTTATATGACAAGCCCCTTCGACATATCAAATAATAGAAAAGATCAAATATGAGATATTGATTCGATCAACAGCCTATAAGTGGCCATTGCTGACCAAAGGCCTCTTCTCGCACAGAGAAGGTAAGTTAGGTAAATGATGATGAATACTAAGTATAATATTTGTTAAACTTGTCGGGATGACGATAAAAACAGATTAGATAATAAAGTGATTATATACGTGTAAGCGAAGTGGCATTTCAGAAATTTCCGATTTGTCAATATTTTATTATTTTCGAAACGTCGTATTCACTTACATCATCATCATGTTGATGATGATGATGATGATTAAATTATCTATACATATAATAAAATCGTAGAAAAGTCACAATTGTACATTTAATATTTTTTTAAAAGAATACGTGGGGCGTGATTTACTATCAATACCGAAGCTTATATGGTTTTTGGATTTTTTGTCTGTTTGTCTGTATGTATGTCCGGGATGATCTCAAAAAGCACTGCATGGATTTAGGTACTTCAAATTTTGCATGAATATTACTAACAGGTCGGGTCAACATATAGGCTACATATTATCACGCCATCATCTACGAGGGAGGAGCCCTATACTAGATTCTTGATCAATTCTGACGCCATCGTTACCGTAGAATATCCCTTAATAAAGACTAATTCAAAAGCATAAATTCTGCCAGAAGTCATTATTCTACGCGGACGAAGTCGCGGGCAACAGCTAGTGACTAATATTATTAAACTGTGCCCCTCATAAACAACTTTTTAAAGGAAACCAAGATACCTAAATCAAAATAAGAATGCCGGGAAGGGCTTTATAAAAATCCTTCATCCCTTTCCCACCAACGCCACTAAAAAGAGACAGAAACTCCAAAACCAATAAGTATTACATAATACCTCCCATTCTTAGTAACACGATCAACCCATTTTTTCTCCAGATTTTTGGCATGTTGCCAGATCGTTTATCTAGTGGTTAGTGGTTAGGGGAGAGCTGGCAACGTGACAAAGTGAATGTAAGTTGATGATCTTGACGAGATGGTGAGGTTACTGCAGATAAGCTTACAGTCTTTAAGTGGTTGCAGTTAAGAAATGCGGTATTGATTGACAGGTTGTAGATGAAAGGAGTAGGAACGTGGTTTTTAGTCAGTAAAGGTCTGACACTCACTCTTGCTCCCGCCTAATAAAAGGCGGGAGAAGTCATTGGATGATTTTGCTCCCTCATAAAAAAAATAAAAAAAGGTTGTCGATGTAATTGTGTCAGCTTTTGTCTACAAGTAGCTTTATCTGTCCCATGGAGAAACCTATAATGATATCTAGTTGCTGATACAAAAAGCGCATAAGTTTGGTTAAATAGGTAATATTATTAAGGACAACCATGCTTCGGACACGAATGGGCCGGTTCTACCGGAGTGATACCACACCCTCACAGAAAACCGACGTGAAACAACGCTTGCACTGTGTTTCGACATGTGAGCAAGGTAACCGGAGGCACTATTACTCACAGTCTCCCCAATTCCTGAATCTCCGACAATCCTCAAATTCCTAATCCCAAAAAGGCTGGTAACGCATTTGTAACGCCTCTGGTGTCTCGGGTGTCCATAGGTGGCGCCGATTGCTTGCCATCAGGCCGTCTGCCCGTTTACCGGCTATCTCATTGTACAAGCCATTTTCATTATATTTTTGTTTGTTTGCATTTTTAACTGTCGAGTGTTATTGCCACATCGGCCTAATTAATATGTACATTTTTACAAGCGCATGTTGGACAGTGCATTAAAGGCATTCAACCTGTATTGACGTATAATTTATTTGACAAACTCTCTCTAATTAATCTTCCCGTGACATTCTATTGACATTCCTCTTGTGTGAGCTATTGCAGGCTCGCACAGTTTGGTCCTTCGAGCCGGATATATGACTTTTCGTCGCGTTTTATACAAAAGCCAGAAAGTCATTTTATCAGTGACAGTGAATTACAGTGCATTCAATCGTGCCACGTGACAATTGGACAGTGACAATCATTTTTTTGCGTTGCAAATAGTGTGGCCAGTGGGAAACTAACCCGCTTTTCTGAGACAACTTGTGACAATCTGTGTAAAGTGACATTACGTTCAACACGAGCCCCTGCATTACACGAGTGACAAGTGATCATTAGCTACAAGGAACAACGTCGTCTGGTGCCAACAGCGTACTGTGCAGAATACAGCTTGGCGCAACTTTCCGCAAGTAGAGGTGACGTAAGTGACAGCTGCATCCAGGTAAGACTGTTCCGTTATATTAGACTCTGGACCTTTTGACGAAACATGGAGGCTCTATTTAATAACCAGCAGGCGCTCATCAAAAGTCTTGAACGTGAAAATATTAACTTTAAAAAGGATCCATCCAGTAGGAAGACTACTGAATACCTTATTAAGAAATTAGAGAGATTGGATAAATTGTGGGAAGATTTCCAATTTAATCATGATCAGTTATTGACATTTAAAGACGAGTCCCATGAATATTTCGTGAGGAATCTGTATGAGCAAACTCTGAAGTACTACGAGGGAATAAGACTCAATGTGGCGACATTTAAGATGCCAAAACC